GTGGGCGTTTCCACACGGTACAGGGATTCACCACTGGAGGGAGAGGGATCTGGGGATGCGGAGGCTAAATGCAGGCGGCGGAAGCTGTTGAGCACGGCGTCAAAGTCGGAGGCAGGGTACGGGGGAGGGTTGGATGACATTGTCAGGTAGCGCGAGGGGGAGTCGGGGAGGGGGAGGTTTGAGGATTGTCACATCGGCGCCCATGGACGGGCACATGGGAAAACAAACCTGATGGAAACAAAGGAACCTCGGAAGCTGATGAAAAAAGGGCAAGAGTTACGCAATTGCCCGATTTGGTCGATACGCGAGATTCGTTTGTAGCCGACGATGTAAATTAGATCAGGGGAGAAAGCGCGTGTATTGTAAGCGGTGTGCGAAAAACATGAGAACGAGGTAACTATGCAGCCCGACCCGCCGGCCCCCCGTGTTTGCGAAACTGGGCAAAGATCAGAGAGATATCACAATTGAATGAGTGGCGTACCTTTAACAGACAATGGCGATGGCGTCGCCGTCGAGGGCACTGTTGAAATGGTCGAGAGCGTCGGCCTGAGAGCTGAACGACGTGCTCAAGGCGTTCGACACGCCGACAACGGCGTTGAGGGAGAGGGCGGTGTTTTTGGTCAGGCCGACGTATTTGCCGCTCGTGATGGCAAACCACTTGTCGTTGTTGTCGGGGACGGCGGAGAGGTGCTCGGCGGGGATGACCGTGTAGAGCGAGCCAGCGATCCAAGGCCCGGTGGTGCGGAAGCGGGTCGACGGTGCGGCCGGGACAACGGCTGGAAAGAGCATGAGCTAGAAATTAAAAGGGGAAAAAGGAAGAACGTCGTACGGGAGGCTGGCGCGGCCAGAAACACGGCGGCAGAGGCTTCCACCCCCGCCGCCGCGTCGGAGACAGCGGTGGTCGCGACAGCAAGGTCGGCGAGGACCATATACACTGTTGAAGATTTAGTAGGAAGTCAAGTAACGAGCGCAGGAATGAGCTTGCCTTGGCTGACAGTGGTGGTGCCGACCGCTGCGCTGGTGGCCTCGATGGCGTCGACAGCGGAGGACAGCTGCTCGAGGGCGGAGCGAACTGGGGGAAGATGAGAAAGGCAACCGTTGAGTAACATGCAAACGTACGCTGATCGCGATTGCGCAGGGTGGGCGAGGGAGTAAGCACGCCTGTGGTATTGCTCGCTCCCGTAGTCGATGCTCCCGCAGGGAGGGCGGGAGCGGCGGCGGCGGGAGCGAGATTGTTGAGGTCGGTCATGGGGGAAAGAGCAGAAAGCAAATTGGGGGGAAAGATGAGGGTGGGAGGAAAGAGCCTGTGGAAAGCGCATGTCTTATGTGGTCGCGGATTCGAACTCCGCCAGACCATGTGCTCAGTCTGACAGCGGTGCTTGACCATTATCCGGGTGAGGGTGATTCTTTTGGCGACACATGGAGCCGTAGTTGTAATATATAGACTATTGTACATGGACCTAGCCAGGACCTCCCTTTGGCTATACACCTGGAACTAGCCAGGAGGTGGCTAGGTCCAAGAGTTAGACTCTGGTTCTGCTCCAATCCACAAAGCAAAAGGATACCTGTAGCGCAAATTGAATCTAAGACCTTAAGAGTGCAAGATCAATTCAGATCAGATTCAGATGAGCTACATCCATTAAGCCAACTGGCCATAGAAGTCATAGCAAAGTTCCTCCCTACCCTAACCACCTAACCAACCCCAACATCTAATTAGCTGATCTCTTACCAACCCTAACCCCTAACCTACCGAGACAACCGAGACAAAAATACTCCTGGGACTCTAACCTCCCTAACCCTAACCCTAACCACTAACCTCTAACCACTAACCACTAACCTGGCCCCTTTGGGGCAGAGTAGAACAATAAACATACTCTTTATAGATCACAAAATGAGCAGGGCATACCTGTATCAATTCTTGATTTTGCATCGGCCTTTTGGGTTAGTTGGTAAGGATTACTTAGGTTTGACTGCTTAGGTAATCCCTAGGCTTTTGGTTCAATCCCTGAATCTGACATCTTATTGTTATATTCTTCTTAGCAGGCTCTAGCCAGGGGCTGGCTAGCTCCAGTTGTATAGCCAAAGGGGGTACCTGGCTACATCCATGTCAGGAGACTAAATCCTACAGCTACGGGTGACACATGAGTGACTGGGGGTAAACAAGATCAGACGCAAGCAAAACCAAAGGAACAGTTCCTTACCTCGGACGACCATCACCGCAACTGCCCAGGCGTAGAGATAAGGTGAGTTGTGCGGGACTGTGTTCTCTCGCCGCTGCTGAGCCCGTCGCGCCTAGCAATGGCCGAAAAACGGAAAAGAAGAAAGCCGCGCAAACGAGTGCCCAAGGAAGACCGTAAAAACATGCGCTTATGGGCGGAGGGTGCGCGGGAATCAGTCTTGAAGCCGCACATAGAGGGCTATGCGGACGCACTTGAGCGGGGCTGGCGAGCGGAGCGCGACTACCTGCAGTCGGTGTGCAATGAGTTCCATGCGCGCATCGACTGGCGCTTGGCGGACCACGAAGAGCCGGAGCTGCCACTTGCTGAGTACGACCCCTTCAAGACGGTGGAAGCGGATGAGGTGGATCCCGAGGTCGAGAAGGCGCAGCGCACTCGAATGCTGGAGGTGAACGCGGTAGGTGACAGGAGTGATGCGCACGTGACCGTGACACTCACTCTTCTCCAGCGCATCCAGAGGTGGCTCAAATATCGTGTCCGCCGCCTGCAGAAAAAACTTCAATCGAAACTCGATCCGCTCAAGGACCCATGGGCGATCCTCGTCGCGCTGCTCTCTGGCGTGAAGCGTCCTCCTAAAGTAAGACAGGCCTATCAACAATTTATGCACGAGGCATACGACGACGTTATCGCCCCCGAGGTGGAAGCAAAATGGGAGCAGAAAGCAAGCGACGGGAGTAATCTGCAGACCTCAAAAACGCCAAACGGGCCGTTCAGGTTGCTCGTAGCTCGCGAGCTGTTTGGGAAACTGTCGGAGGCAGAACGAGCGGGATACGCCGAACGCGCGAAAGCAGAAGCGACCGAGGCACGGGAGGCATACGAGGCGGCGATGAAGGCGCCGCCTTCAAAAGCCCCAGAAGACAGAGATAAGTACGTCGGGCCACGGTATTCAGATTTTGGGCAGTACTTACATACGCCTTAGGTGCATCGCCGCCGTCAGGAAATTTCTGGGACCAATCATGAAGGGTGTATTCGACCGCACCGGCATGCCACCTCAGGCTACCCAATATAGACCCCCCTTGGGTCTAACTTTTCATGGGAGAGAATTGACCCAAGGGGGGTCTTCCTGAGGTGGGTGGCCCATAGGGTATGGGACATCCCTCAATACATAGTGGGCTGTCCCACCTGGTCTTTTGTGGGACAGCCCGCCCGCCGAAGGCGGGCCCAAAAAATTTGCATGGGATGGCCCATTGGACCATTCGGCGCCAGGACCCCAGATACCGCCCGCGCCGAAAAAGTGGATTTTGGGCCCGGTTCTGGCCCGATTTGCTTGCTGCTGGGTGATTCTGGCTAGCCTCGCCTGCAGCCTGCCTAGCAGGCATATACTGTGCGGGCCGCGCACATTTTTCCTGCTGCTGCAGGCAGCGAAAAAATGGATTTGCGGGCTGGGTTCTGGCCCGGTTGAAGATGTGCACATTTCGGTTGTTGCCGATTGCCGGATGGTTGGCTGGAAAAAAAAATGGATTTGGGGCCCCGTTCCAGCCCTATTTGCTTGGTGGTGGGTCAGCTGTTCTTGCTTGCAATCTGCATGGTATACATGGAACCTACATGGGCAGCACATATCTAGTCTGCATGGTATACATGGAACATACACGGGCGGCACATATCTGCTAGCTGTTGCGGTCAGCAGAGAAATCAGATTTGGGCTCAGCTCAATTCTTTGCTTGCCGGTTGATGATTCTCACTGCCTACCCAAAATGCCTTGGCAGAGCACATTTATAGTCGGTCAGTTTATTCACACTGTACTAACTGCAGCCTGACACAAAAACTTGATCCTTGATCACGCCTGAACCCAACTGTCTCTGTGTTTTTTTCCTGCATTGTTCCTATCTGCTTGTTTATTGTTACTATTTTCTTGCTGCTCTACACAATCCACACTGCACCTCATATGCCCCCAGATTTGCTTTTCAGGTATATTGGGCACCCTTGCGAACCATTTGGCTTATGTTCTTGACTGAAACCAATGGGACATCCCATATCAAACAATGCTCAGGTGGGATGTCCCATTTGTTTCGTCAAAACCCATGGGACGTCCCACATTGTACAATAAGTAGGCGGGACGTCCCATGTTCCTTACTAAACTCGATGGGACATCCCATATTGAACAATAATCAGGTGGGACATCCCATAGCCCGCAATAATCAGGTGGGATGTCCCATGTGCTTCACCAAAACCAGTGGGACGTCCCACATCTGACAATAATCAGGTGGCATGTCCCATGTGCTTCAACAAAACCAGTGGGACGTCCCACATCTATCAATAATCAGGCGGGATGTCCCATGTGCTTCACCAAAACCAGTGGGACGTCCCACATCTGACAATAATCAGGTGGCATGTCCCATGTGCTTCAACAAAACCAGTGGGACGTCCCACATCTATCAATAATCAGGCGGGATGTCCCATGTGCTTCACCAAAACCAGTGGGACCTCCCACATCTCACAATAATCAGGTGGGACATCCCACGTTCTCTATTTAACGCAATGGGACATCCCACATCTCATATACCTTTCCTTTTTGGTACTACTAACGCTTGCATCCTAATTAGGTAGTTGCCCGTTTTGGGCCACTACTCCTCGCAGCCCGATTAGGTATATCGTTGTCTTATCTTATCTCATCTTATCTTACAGGCCAATCAATTTTGATGGTATTATCATCTAGTATTCTATGTTGTACACATCTCAATAAGAAGAAAGCAACAACAATGCGCATCCAATTGGGGACATCGCTTCACCGATTTGAGAAAAAAAAAAGAGTCGCACTCTGTATGGTTGCGGCGGGATTCGAACCCACGTCATCCGCTGACTTGTTGTGCAATACACGAAGCCGGCGGCATTGTGTATTGTACGACGAGAGACAGCGGAGGTGTTACCACTCCACCACGCAGCCGATTGAAGGTTACCGTCAGTCCCTCTACACCCACACTCTGTTCAGCGCTTCAAGAAAAATAAAAAAATGTTAATCGTTTCAATGCGAGACATGACTGAGGTGGGATTTGAACCCACAACATCACCATAAAAGATTCAGACGAGATTTCAATCTTTGGCGACAATGTAACCATTACACCACTCAGTCGATACCGATCGTTAATGACAATGTAGTTCTACGAAAAAAGCCTATGTTTTCAGCTTAACGCTGAGGTGGGAATCGAACCCACAACCTCCGCGAAGTACGAGTAAAGAGATCATGGATATTTCGCGGATGTGTAACCACTACACAACTCAGTCTACGCCAATCTTCCACCCAACCATTCCACATTCAGAAAGTATAAAGTACTGTTGTTAAAAAAAAAAACCTGCCCAGTCGCGATTTTAACCAACGTGTAGTTTTACAAACATAAACGTAAACTCTTTATCTATTCCAGTCCAAAAAGTTCACGGTATTGTCCTAGGTCTGACATTAAGGTTAGCAAAGCGAGGCATAGGTAGATTGTACAACGTACGGGGGATTCGGAACCACGACTCTACGTGTTCGGCGTCGGATGCGTGTTCTAAGGAATGCATGAATAAATTGAGAAACGAAACAAGTGACCCGACGACGTACGAAACGCAGGGTGATGGTGGTGATGGTGGCACAAAGCTTGATGGGCGTGCTGGATCCAAGTAGCCTCCCCTTGCCACTCGACCCAACTGGTCTCCCCGGCGTCGTTGGGCACCAGCACGAGGAAAAAAGTCGCTGGTAGGGCATTCAGTCGGAAACCATGAGTAAGATACAAGTAAAGACATACGGCCAGTCCAACGGGGGCGGGGGCGAGGCTCGACGCGTTGCGAAGGATACAGGTGGACCGGCGCGTGACGCGATCTTGCCTTCTTCGTGCGGCACCGCCCGTAACGGCGATCAAACGGTGAGGGAGGAAGGTTGGGCAGTGTTTTCAGAGAGCGGCGTGCAAAAGTCATAGTGTGATGATTCTCAACCAGTGGATTTGGGGCGTACCTTTATACCCTCTCAATGCCACCCGCAGTGGCCACGACTCCTTTCATCCAACAATGGTCGCGCATTGTCCTTCGTTTCCGGTAACTACAGAAGCGTCAGCGGTGGCCGCGCATCAAAGAATTGATCCAACTCACCTTCGTGGTTTCCATTTCCAGCCAACACACATTATTTGCGCACTCTTGGTAAACTCTCCGTGGAGAGTCGCAAGCCCGGGGGTCCACGGCAAGGAGGTGCGCAGGGTTGCGAACCCCTCCCCCGAGAAACTATCTACTTTTATGTACAAGTATGAAAAAGATCTCCAGCATGGTGCAAGCAAATGTTTGTACGGTACAAGTGAAAAACCAATAACATATACATCATATGTCTATTCCCGTAAATTTCCCGAATTCCTCCTCGTCCTGCCTCCGTTTCTCAGCCGCCTTTCTCTCCTCTCGCGCTGTGCGGCGTTGTTCGGCGTCAAGGGCGTAAGGTGTCTCCACCCTCACTAGCCTGAGTGCGCCTGAGCAAAGGGAACGAAGTCAGTAAGCATCCGAACAACAGGCGATATGGAACGTACGACTCGGCGGAGGGCGTAAAGCACGAATTGGACACTCTCGGGTGGTGAAGCACTTCCGCCACGACTTGACGGCGATATCCAGGGCGTTGTAGGCGATGCCGCGCATGCGCAGGCCTCCGCTCGTCGCAACGAGCACTCGGGGAATGCCCTGTGGCAGACGGCGCATCGGAGGAACTGGTACAGCAAACATGTCAGCAGGGCGCGCTGTGGAGACGAATATATCAACTCACCGACGTGCAAGGCGCAACCCGAGTCGATCTTCTCGGCGGAGATGGCACCAGCGGGACACGAGCAGGGCTGTAGTAGAACCAGCATCAGCCCAATGCAGCATTGCACGCGGAACTGAACGTACTGGAGCCTTGCGCACTCCCGAGCCAGCATTGTAGCGGTGGTATGCGAAACACGCTTTGCAGATTTGAAAGCTGCGCGCGAGTCCGCGGTCCGTCTCCTGATATTCGGCCCAGCCCCACATTGTTACGAGCTGGGCGCAATCGTTGCAGGGATCGTTCTTGTAGTCCTCCCGGTGCGCATCAGCAGCACGCTGCAGCTCCGCCCTTGTTAGGAATGCGAGATGGTCGGTTTCGAGGACCAGGCCGATGTCATACAGTTGTTCTGCGAGCGGTGGACGTATCGACATTGGCAAGGTAGGTGTGTTGGTCGAGTATTCAAGACGTTCGAGACGATGGGGGCGGCCAGACAGCTGCAAATGCTCAGCTTAAATATGCCACCACCATTAACACGCACCGTTTACTATATTCAGCTGACAATGTCTTCGCATTATTCGCCCGATGCGGCGGCAGCACCAGAGCCACTCTTGTTTCTTTGGTCGCACTCTTGGCAAACCGTTAGCGGTGGCCGCGCATCAAAGAAGCCCAGCGAACTCACCATCTCACCATCGTGCAATTTCCTAGCTAAGACGCATTGTTTTGGCACTCTTGGTAAGCTCTCCGTAGAGAGCCGCAAGCCCGGGGGTCCACGACAAGGAGGTGCGCAGGGCTGCGAACCCCTCCCCCGGGAAACTATGTAAACTATCTACAACGAAGCACCCGTGTCGTACAGTTTACTCAAATTAACACACGGCGAAAATCTACAAGATCGTACATGAATTTATGGCTAACTACAATTTACCACAACGCTGGCCGCGGTACGAAGGGACAATGCGTATATTCCCGTTTTTCCCCCACGGCGTCGTTCGCCGCCTCCCAGTGGTAAAGTTCCATGTTGTGCAGGCCGTCCCTCGTGTACTGCACTAAACTAGGAGTTAGTTCACAAATCAATGAGCCAGCAATGCCACGTACGTTTATAATACTCATGTAGCACCAACTCCCCGCCGTTGGCGCGCCCTCTCTCCCATCCCGCCCAAGTATTGCGCATCTGGAAAGGAAAGACATCCATTACGGTGGCGGGCCACGCGGCAAGGAGATGCGGAGCTAGTATATTAGCAGCGCGGCCGCGCACTGAGAAAGAAAGGTCAGTCCTCATCGTCAATGATGGTAAAGGACACTTACTTTTCGCGTCAAAGTCCTCCCGCCGAGGGTGTCCGTCGGGATACGGATTGTGGATCTCGAAGGTAAAGGGCCGCTCGGCCTCGGCGATCATCGCGACAAGATCGTTCTTCTTCCACTGCCGTAGGTGGGCGGCGGAGTCCGCATAGGCTTCCAGCTGCTTGAAGTGCTCGTCGAGCCCGTCGTATCCAGAGAAGTCGTGGCCGAAGTCTTCCGCGAACGCTCTCTCTGAGGGCGCCATGAGTTTCACGATGACCAAGGTCCAGTATTACATACCGCGCGTAAGGTAAATCACCACGGCGATGTGGTTGTAGTCGTACACATCCTCTGTACGCGAAAGTCAGGATAAGAATGCCATTGAGGATATGACTCACGAGCAACGGCGCGTAGCTTGTACAGTTCCTCCATCCGCGGCTTCTTGCGCGCCTGCCACGCTGCATTCTCGGCGTCCGGTACAAACTTCCCGTATCGACATTCATACTCCCTGACTGTGGGTTTGTTATAGACGATATCTAGATGAGGCGCGCAAATGCAAATGTACCTGCCATGAAATGGTCCACCCACGTCTCAGAGGTTTTTTCCTGTCTCTCCGCATCGTTTGGAATGGATGCGCTGGCAGCCACAGTGCGTTCTGTCGATTAGAAATGAGCATACGTCCTCCGCGCTGCCTAAATCACACATACTGTGCTTCCTCAAGAGCCTGCAGACACGTTTGTTCGCTGTCACCCTCTCTCTTTCCTCTGCGACTTTCTCCTCCGCGGTGACGGGAAGAGGGTCATCCTCGCCCCTCGGCGCGTATGGGTCTGTGATGCGCGGCAAGGGCGATTTCGTAGGGCGTTGGCGGCGAGTGCGGCGAGTGGCGGGCATGGGAGTGTTGAGTTGTGTCAAGTTGAGTAGCGGGCCATGCCACCCGCGCGTTATATACCTAATCTGGACGCAAAGCGTGAGTGGTGGCCACACATTCCAGATTCGGACTCACCCGCATGTCGTTTAATTCCCAATCTAAGACGCATTGTTTTCGCACTCTTGGTAAGCTCTCCGTAGAGAGCCGCAAGCCCGGGGGTCCACGGCAAGGAGGTGCGCAGGGTTGCGAACCCCTCCCCCGAGAAACTATCTACTACACTGTGTTTCTCAATAATCGAAGAAATCTATCCCACATCGTACAGACTAGGAGCATATTCGGATATTGGGATATTCCTACTACTAAGGGAGTCGCTCATTCAATAGCTAGTAGTCCGTACGATAGACATCCGCTCGTCCTACCGCCTCCAGCGTTCCGAAGTCGTCCTCCTCCCCACCACTTTCCATCCCGTCATCATCCTCTGATTCGACTTCTTGCTCGCCATAATGCCGGTCCTCCCCGCGAGCAGCCAGGTGTGCGTCGACATTGTAACTGGATAACTGTGCCGCAGACGGCCCCCACGCTGGAAGCGATTGTTCGCGGAAGGCGGGGAGATGCTTGTTCCAGGTGGCACACAGGCCAACGAGTTTGTCCTCGTGCAGTTTCAAATGATACTTGTCAATCTCTGACTCTGTTCCGCTTCGTTAACCATAGTCCGCAAGCTGGGGCAAAAAACAAGTACCTCTCTCCACGATAGCAGTAGTCGTCATGGACCATTCCTCGGCAAACCACATTCGCAACGACCGCGCTTCTCTGCGTAACCGCGCATCTTCCTCGTCGCACCGATCGAGCTCCAGCAAGGCCTTGATGCCATTGCGTACGTTGTCATCGCAGAGCCACAAGGGGGGTTCCGCCCCGTAATCGTCGTTTTCGTCGTTGTCGCCGAGCCCTACGTCCTGAAAGATCGTGTCGTCGACGTCCAACTGCCACAGTCCCTTTGCTGGAATGGGGATCGGCGCGATTGCGTTCCTCGGCGCTTTACCGTCCCTGATTA